GAGAGAAAGGTCTTCCTTTTGCCATTGGTTCACCCTCCAATGGCCGCCGCGGCCGGCGCACCGCGCTGATCCGATGGCAGGAGCCAGGATCCAGGTGCTTCTCCTGGTCTCCCATGGGGTGCAGGGCCCAAGCACCTGGGCCATCCTCCACTGCACTCCCTGGCCACAGCAGAGAGCTGGCCTGGAAGAGGGGCAGCCGGGACAGAATCCGGCGCCCCAACCGGGACTAGAACCCGGTGTGCCGGCGCCGCTAGTCGGAGGATTAGCCTAGTGAGCCGCAGCGCCGGCCCATAATTTAAAATTTTCATATATTAAAAGATACTATCAGGGGCCGGCACCATGGCTCACTTTGTTAATCCTCCACCTGCGGCTCCAGCATCCCATATGGGCGCCAGGTTCTAGTCCCAGCTGCTCCTCTTCCAGTCCAGCTCTCTGCTGTGGCCCAGGAAGGCAGTGGGGGATGGCCCAAGTACTTGGGCCCCTGCACCCACATGGGAAACCATGAAGAAGCACCTGGCTCCTGGCTTCGGATCAGCACAGCACTGGCCATAACAGCAATTTGGGGAGTGAACCAACAGAAGGAAGACCTTTCTCTCTGTCTCTCTCATTGTCTAGCTCTATCTGTAAAAAAAAAAAAAAAAAAAAAAAATACTGTCAATATTGTGCAAATACAATCCAAAGATGGGATAAAATGGATTAATATCTTAGTATACATATAAAACATTCCTATAGATCAACAACAAAAAAGTGTTCAGAAACAGGCAAAGCTTACGGGCATTGTGGCACAGCAGGTTAAGCTGCCACTTGGGATGCCTGCATCCCATATTGGAGTGCTGGTTCAGGTCTCAGCTACTTTGCTCCCAGTACAATCTACTGTTAATGTGCATTTTGGGAGGCAGTAAATGATGACTTAAATACTTGGGTCCCTGTTACCCTTGTGGGAAACCTAGGTGTAGTTCTTGGCTTTTGGTTTCAGCCTGACTCAGCCTTGACTGTTATGGTCATTTTGGGGGTGAACCAGCAGATGGAAGATATCTCTTCATCTCCCTCACTCTGTCTTTCAAATAAATAAATAAACTTTTTTTTAAAAGCCAGGTAAAAGACTTAAGTAGACATTTTTCCAAAGAAGATACACAAATGGCCAATAAGCACATGAAAAGATGCTCAGCATCACTAGCCATTAGGGAAATGCAAATCAAAAATCATGAAATACTACTTCATACCTATTAGGATGGCTGCTGTAAACAAAAACACACAAATGGAAAATAATGTGTTTGAGGATGTGAAGAAATTGGAATCCTTGTGCATTGCTTGTGAGTATGCATAATGGTGTAACTGCTGTGGAAAAGTTTGGTAGTTCTTCAAAATGTTAAACATAGAAATATCATATTCTACTTTTAGGTGTATATCCAAAAGAATTGAGACTCCAGTGGCCGGTGCTGGTTTGAGTACCTGCTCTTCCACTTCCAGTCCAGTTTTCTTGGTACTGCACCTGGGAAAGCAACAGAGGATGGGCCAAGTGCCTGGGCCCCTGCATCCAGGTGGGAGACCTGATAGAGTTCCAGGCTCCTGGTTTCCACCTGGTTTAGCCTAGCCCTGGCTGTTAAGGTCATCTGGGGAATGAAGTGGCAGGTGAAAGATCTCTCTCTGTCTCTCCTCTAACTCTGCCTTTCAAATAAATAAATCTTTAAGAAAAAAGAAAGTAGGGACTCAGTCAGATACTTTTACTTCAATGTTCATGCAGTATTATTCACAATCCAGGTCAAATATTCCAGGATTCCACTGACATGAAATATAGAGAATGGGTAAATTTAGAGACAGAAAGTAGAAGAGAGGTTACCAGCAACTAAGATAAGGAAGAGCATGGGAGTTACTGTTTAACAGGTATAGTTTCTTGAGACGATGAAAAACTTTTAGAAATGGGGTGAGATGGTTGAGCAATATTGTGAATGTACTTAAAGCTGCTGAATTTTATAATTCAAAATGTTGAAAAGGATTAAAGAAAAATCATATAATAAATAAGAAAAAAGATTTTAAAAAACGTACAACAAATAAATCAGGAGAACAGAATTACAGGGCCCAGAAAGAGACCTCAGCATTGATGGGGTTTTGATGTACGAAGCAGCATTAGAAACCAATGAGAAAAGAACAGACTGTTTGACAAATGGCACTGGATCAGCGGCTTTATCTGTTAGGTATTACAATAGATTAATAAAGCTGGATATAAGTCCAAGATGCCAATTTATTTTTCTTATTAAACAAGACTGAAGGGTGTTAAACTAGACCATTTACTGAATATAGTTGGACAGGTTAGGTTGGGAGGCTTAATAAAGATGTACTACTACCCGCTTCTGAAATCTCCAATTAAAAGATCACTAAGAAGCTCATAAATAGTATTTGCATTTTAAAAAGTCAATGTAATATGCCACATTAATAGAATTTAGGAAAGGCCACATGATCATCTCAATTGACATTGAAAAAACATCTGACAAAAGCAAACATCAGGGCCTGCATTGTGGCACGTGGTGTAGTGGGTTAGCCACCACCTGCAACTCTGGCCTCCCATGTGGGCACCAGTCCAACTCCCTGCTAATGCACCTGGGAAAGCAGTGCACTATGGCCCAAGTACTTGGGTCCCTGCACCTGCCTGAGAGACCTGGAGGAAGCTCCTGACTTTGAATCAGCCCAGCTCCAGCCCTTGCAGCCATTTGGCGAGTGAACCAGCAGATGGAAGATCTCTGTCTATCTCTCCCTCCTTTCTCTCTCTATAACTGTGCCTTTCAAATAAATAAATCTTTAAAAAAAAAAAGTGGCTCATATACATGGGCCCCTGCACCCACTTTGGAGACCCAGAAGTTCCTGGTTCTCGGTTCCAGCCATTGCGGCCACTGGGGAATGAACCAGCAGATGGAAGATCTGTCTCTCCCTCTCTCTCTGCAACTCTGCCTTTCAAATAAATAAATAAATCTTAAAAAAAAAAGCTAACATCCTATGATGATAAAGACACTCAACAAACTAGGAATAAAAGGGAGTTTCTTCAACATGGTAAAGGGCATTTATGAAAAAACCACAGCTAACATCGTGTTCAGTGGTGAAAGACAAAGTAAAGATTAGGAACAAAACAAGAAAGGCTGCTTTCATCATCTCCAACACTGTACTGGAAGTTCTAGCTAGAACAATTAAACAAGAAAAAGAAATAAAAGGGGTCCACATCAGAAAAGAATAAGTAAAACTATGTTATTCACAGATGACATGGTCTTGTGTGAACAAAATCCTACAGGACCTTATAACAGACTATTAGAGCTAATAGATGAATTGGGCAAAGTTACTGGATACAAGATCAATACACAAAAAGCAGCAGTATTTCTATATACTGACAATGAAAAATCCAAAAAGGAAATTAAAAATAATTATTTAAAAATGGATTAATTTTAAAAAGATGTTTTTATTTATTTGATATAGTGACAGAGAGAGGGAAAGAGACAGATCTTCCAACTGGTGGTTCTCTCCAAATGACTACAATGGTCAGGGCTGAGCCATGCTAAAGCCAGCAGCCAGGATCTCCAACCAGGTCTTCTGGGTAGGTAACAGGAACTCAGGTACTTGAGCCATCAACTGCTGCTTCCCAGATGCCTTAGCAGGGAGCTGGATGGGAGTCAGAGTAGCCAGGACTCACTCTGGCACTTGTGGTTGTCCCAAGAGGCAGCCTAACCCAGTGCACCACAATGCCCACCCCAAGAAAACAATTCTTTTTTACAATAGCAACAAAAAGAATAAAATACTTCTGGATAAATTTAACTAAGGAAGCACAAGACTTCTACACTGAAAACTATAAAACTGCTAAAATTTTAAAAGGCTTAAATACTTTTTGTTTATGAATAAACATTAAGATGCCAATACTCAAACTGATCTACCCATTAAATTCAATCCCTATCAAAATCCCATTCTCTCTCTCTCCCTCCCTCCCTCCCTCCCTTCCTCTCTCTCTCTCTCTCTCTCCAGAAATGGAGTTGATTTTAAGATTCAAATAGAACTGAAGGGACCCTGAAGCGTCAAAACAACCTTGAAAAAGAAGCAAAGTTGGAGAACTCACACTTCCCGATTTCAAAACCTACGGAAAAGTTACAGTAATGTAAACAGTGTGGTACATTGATCTATAGTATCGAATTGGAATTCAAAAATAAAGGTACACATCTGTGGTCAACTGATTTTGGACAACAAAGAATCCTGTCATCAAATGATGCTGGGACAAAACCAAAACCCAACAACTTTCACCCGAGGGTCAAAGTCAAGTCTCTTTGCCAAAGAAAACCAAGTAACTCCTCGAGGTGCCGGCCCGACAAGAAGTCCGGAGCACGGCTCTGAGAGCTGACCTCCCTGCGGGAGACGCTGCACGGGAGACACGTTCTTCGGCGGGGTGGGCCGGAAAGACCCGGGTGGCGGTGACAGCGGTCCCCGCAGGGTGGGACGCGGCGGCCCGGACGAGGGAGGCCTAACCGGCTGGGCAAGTAAAGGCAGCCGCTCTCTTGTCCAGGCAGCGAGCGCAAGCACCTCAGCTAACCAATTCTTGAAGCAGAGAACGGGAATTTGGAGGGTCTGTGGCTGACCTTGTCACGGGTCAACAAGGGGGCTGCTAAATCGTGTGAGGACGGGGCTTCCTCGCAGCCAGCACAAACGGGGCGGGGGTGGGGAGTCCTGGAACAGTCGCCGCTGAGCATCTGAGCTGAGGTACAGTTCAGCGTCGTCACAGTCCAGGGACACCGCTCCACGGATTGAGTCAGGGGCTGAAGAGGTTCCGAGGCCAATGAGGAGGCCCCACACCCGGCCCCCTGCACTTTCCGCGCCCAGGGAACAGCCAACGAGCGGCGGCCGCCATTGGTGCGCGTAACGCCCGGGCCCTCAGCGACCCGCCCCGGCAAGCCCCGCCCCGGCGCGCGCTCCTCGGGGCCGCGCGGAGCCCGGCAGGCGCGCGCGTCCGGCGGAGCCCGAGGGAGGCGGGCGGGATCCCGGCGGCGCAGCGGCGGAGTCTGAGCGGGTCTGGGGGCGGCGGCGCTGCCCCTCTGAGGGGCTCGGGCCGAGCGGCGGCCGCGGCGCCTGGAGCGAACGGAGGACGAGGCTGCGAGGCCGCGGCCGCAGGTGAGTTTGCTGGGGCCGCGCCGCGTTCGGCGGGGTGAGGGGCCGCGCGGGCGTTTCCCTGGCCGGGCCGAGGCGGTGGTCGTCGCCGGCCGCGGCCCGTCGGGTGTCCGGGTGAGTCCGCGTCCGGAGCGTCTGCCAGCCGGGAAAGGGCGCTGGCGGGCCGAGGTCGGGGCGAGGCCCCGGAGGGCCCAGGTGGGCGGCGGGTCTCGGGCTGCGGACCCTGCGGCTTTCGCGGAGAACTCGGGCGAGCGCAGCCCTGGGCGCTGTCCCCGCGGCGCGCGGACACTCGGAGGTGTGGAACAGCGCGAGCGCCTGTGGGAGGCGGCGTGCGGCTCCCGCCGGCGGGGCTGCGTCGGAGGTCTGGCGTTCGCCCCTGGCGCACTTGGCTTCTGCGGAGTGTCCTTGCCCGCCGAGGCTGCCGGTCGTAAAGAGCGGATTACCAGCCGGTCAGTGGCGGTTGACCGTCAGCGTGGCGTCTAGGGTTGCTTCTCTGGTGCGTAACTTGAGAGAACCGAACGTGGACATGGCACTGCGGGTCTGTGTGACGTGAGCGCCGAAGGCAGCCGTGTGTTCTCTGGTTTTAGTGGGAAAACCTCTCGCAAAGTTGGTGGTGTTCTTCCCTGGCAATGATAGTTCAGGGGTTATTCAGCATCTCTGTACAGTTATAAAGTTCGTGCCAGGCATTGGTGGCATCCAAAAATGAGTACGAATTGTGAGCAGGATGGAGAAAGGTGTTAAGCACGCTAAGCACCCGAGGCAGAGTGCAGCAGGAGAATATTTCATAGAGTTCATGCGGAATGGAATTAAAAGATTGTCTGTTTTGGTGCAGAAGAGCATTGAAGTCTATAAAGATCCCTTGTTTTATTTATTTTTTAAATAAGTTAATGAAAAATACATATTGTGAAAAAGCTACCATTAATCTTATCTTTAAATTCCATTTTTTCCCATCAACTTTCTAGAGAATTCCTATATTAACATAAGTTACTACTTATTGAGCATTTACTGTTAGCTGGGTCACTTAATACACACTTAAGCATTTTTTCATTCCAGTTTCTTTTAGTATCTGCTATGTACTGAGTGCCAAGGGTATGCTAGTGACAACGATGGATTCTTTTTAGATTATACAGTGTCATTGGGCAAAATAGATCATCAAAAGCCAATAAACCAAGATAGAAGCTAAAAAGGTAGAATATAAAGTGTTTGTGAGACAACAGGCAGACTTCCTCCAGCTGGGGGGATCAGGTAAGGTTTCCCTGGGGAAGTAATCTTTACCCTATTATGGGTAAACAGAAATTATGTGAAGATGACTCTCCAAGGAGAGAGGAGAGGTACAGGCAAAGGGAATACTAGATTGCACAGGGGCTAGGGCACGTGGTCACCTCAGAAACTTAAATGTCATAGCGATGGAGCAAAAGGAGACCATGGTAAAGAAGATTAAGGCCAGAGAGATGGTATGGGCCCTTTAAGCTATGTTAGTTAAGGATTTGGAATGCAGCATTTTTTTTTACAACACTTTTAAAGGGAAGTCTCCAAAACACTGAGATGTAGTGAGAAAACTATATGAACCCCACCGTAAAATCACCTGAAGAATTCAGACCTCATTCTTTTTTTTTTTTTTTTTTTAAGATTTATTTATTTATTTGACAGGTAGAATTACAGACAGAGGGAGAGACAGAGAGAAAGGTCTTCCTTCCGTTGGTTCACCCCCCAAATGGCCACTACAGCCAGAGCTACCCCGATCTGAAGCCAGGAGCCAGGTGCTTCTTCCCAGTCTCTGACACGGGTGCAGGGCCCAAGCACTTGGGCCATCCTCTGCTGCCTTCCCGGGCCACAGCAGAGAGCTGGACTGGAAGAGGAGCAACTGGGACTAGAACCCAGCGCCCATATGGGATGACGGCGCCACAGGCGGAGGATTAACCAAGCCAGCCCCAGACCTCATTCTAAGAGCAATGGAAAGTCACTGGGTTTCTGGTGGCAGGGTCTGGGGAAGGGGCTGCAGGCATCATGGTGGGCCAGGAAGCAGGCCAAAGAGATGGTTGAGAAAGGCTTTCAACCAAAAACAAAAAGAGGAGCAGAAGAAATACAAGGAGCTAAAAGCGAAACCAGTGGGGAAGGGCCCCTTGGCCACAGGTGGAAGTAAGAAATCTGGCGGGGCCAGCACTGTGGCTTAATTGGTAAAGCTGCCGCCTGGAGTGCCAGCATCCCATATGGGTGCCGGTTGGAGTCCCGGCTTTTCCACTTCCGATCCCACTCTCTGCTATGGCCTGGGAAAGAAGTAGAAGATGGCCCAAGTTCTTGGGTCCCTGAACCCACGTGGGAGACCCGGAAGAAGCTCCAGCCATTGTGGCCATCTGGTAAGTGAACCAGCAGATAGAAGACCTCTCTCCCTCTCCCCCCCACCATCTCTGTAACTCTGCCTTTCAAATAAATAAATAAATCTTAAAAAAAAAAAAAAAAGAAAAAGAAAACTGGCAAAAAGTAAGCTGTCCCTTGTGCCTGAGGTGATGATGCCCTTGATTCCATTTCCAGCTAAACATCTGGATTTCTGGCCATAGTTTGCTACCCATAGTTAGAATGAAGTGTTTATAGAGTTGTTATCTTGGAGCCTATTGTACATTTACAAATAAACTTTTGTAAAAAAGAGCTGAAAACCCTACGTGTAGGTCGCTGTCTCTTTAGTTGTTTTCTCGCAACCATTCTTAGCTGTGAATTTAAAGTAAACCCAGCTGAGAATTCTTCCAGAGTCTGCTGCTTGATCTTTGCTCTCCAAATTCTGCATCACCTGGAATTAAACCAACTGCAGGGTGGGGGAGTCACTGAGGGGTCTTAAGCAGGGAATTCCCACAACTGTCTTTAGATTTCAAAAAGAAAATCTGACTGCTGTGTAGGGACAAGAAGTGAGACTACATAGAGAGATAATGGTGGTTTGGTATTAGAGTTGTAGCAGTGAAGACAGGGCAAATTTAAGGGTGCCTAATGTAGCCACCCTCATTTGTTAGTAATTCAGTTGCTGGAAGAATCTTGGAACGTTTTCTAAAGGAGATTGTATTTGAAATGGGCTTTGCGAGGTAAGATAACATTTCAGCATGGAGTTCTGGAATGAGAATGCCGTGGTGTCAACGATGGCTGGCTCACTGACCTTCCCAGTCCCTGCCCAGATTTCACCTTTCCCTTAGGATTTCCTCATTCAGGTTACTGTCACAGTTATTACTTTGGTTCTTGGGAGTGTTTATCTCTCCCATTAACAGTTTTAAAGTATTTGTTCTGATGCCATCATTGGTTACTCTTGGAGAACTAATCACATTCCACAGATCTAAGAAAGAGGAACCCCATATGGTAATATGATTCATTCGCTTCTTCCTTGTGTTGAATACCCAGAATAGCCTTATCCTTAAAGAGAGACTTCAGCTTCTATATAAAGATGGAATACTCAGTTGCATAATATCTTGATACAAATCCATAATCTTAAAAAAAAAGTAGCTTGAGAATGTGTTTACAAAAATAAGTAAAGTTGGTAAATGCAATTTAAAAAATTCAAGCTCCAGTGTACGCATTAAGAAGACTATATTCTAGTCATCTATCTTGACTGGGTTTTCCTTTTGGTGACTGTTTTATAAAGCTCAGTCTGCTCTGTCTCCTGACTGATTCTTATCATTGCATTGTTGGGAATGAGTGGGATAGTGTTTGGGAAGGTGTTTGGTAAACTGTGATACTTACAGTACCCATATAATATGGTGGTCATAGTTAGAAGTAGACTGAAGAAAGGATAGGAATTTTGTTCATCTGTCTATTCTCATGCCCAGCTTCTGCTTGGTAACCTGAATATTTGTCAGATATTTGTCTGGCTTTTACTCTCTACAGTACAGTATATGACTTAACTTTGATCATGTCATATGACTAATACATTTATCAAAGCTCACTCAATTGATATAAATTGTATGTGGTTTATTTGCCTATTACTAATTTATGATAGAAAATGCCTAAATGATGACTTTATGTTCTCATGTTGGAATTTTCTCTTCATAAGCCTATGCCCTGTTTTTAAATTAATAACTCACCATATTTTTTTCCTTGTTAGTCAATTAAACTCTAATAATAGAAACTATGTCATATTGACACTTCTGTCATTAGTTCTAAATCAGTGTCTTGCACACAGTGGTGGGAAATTCAGTAAGTGTTTAAATGTTTAAAAAAGTTTAGAGAAATTAAAAGTGAGAACTTCACTGGAGCATGTGTTGTAGCATAGCAGGTTAAGCTGCTGTCTGCTACCCTGCCATCCCATACAGGTGCCAGTTCATATCCCAGCTGCTCCACTTTTTTTTTTTTTTTTTTTGGACAGGCACAGTGGACAGTGAGAGAGAGAGAGACAGAGAGAAAGGTCTTCTTTTTCCGTTGGTTCACCCCCCAATGGCCACTGCGGCCGGCGCACCATGCTAATCCGAAGCCAGGAGCTTCTCCTGGTCTCCCATGCGGGTGCAGGGTCCAAGCACTTGAGCTATCCTCCACTGCACTCCCGGGCCACAACAGAGAGCTGGACTGGAAGAGGAGCAACCAGGACAGAATCCAGCACCCCAACCGGGACCAGTACCCCGCCGGGGTGCCAGCGCTGCAGGTGGAGGATTCGCCTAGTGAGCCGCAGCGCCAGCCAGCTGCTCCACTTCTGATCCAGCTACCAGCTAATGTGCCTGGGAAGGCAGCAGAAGATGGCCCACATACTTGGATTCTTGTCACCTGTGTGGGAGACTTGGCTAAAGCTCCTGGCTTCAGCCTGGCCCAACCCCAGCTGTTGTGGTCATTTGAGGAGTGAAGCAGCAGATGGAAGATCTCCCTGTCTCTTCCTCTTTCTTTGTAACTCTGCCTTTCAAATAAGTAAACAAATCTTTTTTTTAGAGTGAAATTTCAAAATTACAACTTTTTAAAATTAAGTTTGGGTGTTGTCATTGTGGCACCGTGAGCTAAGCTGCCTGCTTCACTTAGATCCTCTATCAGTGCCTGTTCGT